GCTTATCACTGCAAAATAAGCATCTTGCAACTGGATTACAACTCTCATGCTTGCAAGTGTTTTCACACTACAGTCCAGATGGGAGATTCGTTCTGTAACCTAAATCGATGCCTTCTTTCGTGCATCTTTTTTGTCTATGATATTGTAAATGTGACAAACTATACAATCAATTAATACAACAATCCAATACAAACATTTGGAAGCTAACTCACCATCAGCTGTGTTTATTTCCTGTTATTTGCGTCACAAAGAGACAAACACATGGCAACTTAATTTTTCAGTTGTAGTTTTGTTTAGTTTATAGATTATGGAAGATTTCAAAACTATTTTCCAAATTAGAGAAGCAAAGCAACACACAAGTGTAACTTCAAGGACCTTACTAACACTCTGGATCGAATCCTTCAAAATTACCTACGAGATGTTGTTGATGTTATGATTTTAAGGTGAACTGACAATAAAAACCCTTCAGATTCAGTACCGGCACACAATGAATGGATGGATTAATCAAAATATGACTTAACGTTCACTTTCCATTCCTTTGGAGAGTTGGAAGACGTGTTGAGTTGCAACCTACAGTTGTGCCTGCTCGCTAAAAGCTTTTCATGGTCTCTGGAGACACATTTCAAACGCTTCAAGTTTCATCTTCAACTGTATCCATGTCAATAACAATGACATTGTTCACTTTAGGTTTAATTTCTTGGATGACTAATTCATTGTTTGCAGATGTGGCTTTTAAACAGGTGCAACCAGCTGAGACAGTGTAGCTGATTTTGGAAATGATTGCAGTGGAAATGCATACTATGAAAACCATGAAGCTATCCAGCATTTCCTCTGTGACGTCTTTTGAAAAGTTTACACAACCTTTGTTGACTCCAGTGATCTTTCCACCATGTACCACCTTGACACCAGGAAATGGGAAAGTGGACCTGTACGCCTTAAACATCCCCTTTTTGGACATTAGACATAGGCGCAGACATTGTCACTGACCCAAAATGTTACGCATAATCAAAAAATAAATTTCAGTTTATCTTGTTATAGGTCTTAAAACGCCACTCAGGCATGAGGCAACCGATTTGCAGTTACGTTTTACAGATATTGCTATGCATGTTTGACTCAAATCTTCTAACTACTAGAAACACAAATATTCCTCAGTACCATCCCAGTCCTTTCCCAGAAAAGTTCCCAAACAATATTACATAAAGCATGACGATTATTATTGTATCCTGATTCCTGCAGAATGTCATAGCAAGACATACTGCCCGAGCACAAAAAAACATGAAATGGCACAGAGTTTGGTCTGAGCTCCAAGTTGTTGCTATCTGTTTTCTGATTCTCCCCGGCTCGTGCAGCACTGCTCGAGAGTTGCAGCTCTGGGGGACTTCAGCTGCTCAGGGTGCGAAACACTGCGAGAGTTGAGAACCAAACTCAAACACATACAGTCACACTCTCTGCACTTCACTTCTGGAGCTCTGCCTCAAGTTACAAGCCAACAGTCCAAGTGACAAACATGTTGTCTGAGGACTGTGCAAATGTGGACCTCTGCAGCTCCTGTCAACACGCAGCGAGGGCCCGCTAACAAGACTTCAGTGTAGGTGGCTAAAACTCTTGTTAGACAGTGAAGTATTCTTCAACATGCAGAGTTGGGACTGGGACTCGGGAGGATTATTTCAGATACTGAGATTATTGAGTACACGAGACAATTTGGTTTTTAAATATTTTTATTAGTGTTGCACCGTGCAGCCAATGAATTAAGAAAATCAATCAACAGCTTTAATAATTAGTTTAAGCAGTGATTTTCATACCTTTGTTGCAAAAGATCTACTTGTGCATACATGTGCGTTGGACCTCTCAGGTATATCAGCAGTGGATGTTGTTATAATCAGTTTAGTTTGATATCACCATTCAATAATTTCTCATTTATTTCAATAGAAAGCCAGTGGAGTGTCTGTAATGAACCTTATTAATCACAGTCTTCGTTTGGAAGTCGACGCCTCTCGCTGACCCCCACCTCACCCCCTCCTCTTGTCTCTTCACCTCTCCATCTCTCTACCTGACTCATCCACCCGTCTATCTGCAGTCACGCTCCCGTCCGTCTGATGAGATTTCACTGACATTTCATGCTGACATATTCAGACTATTGTTCTGCCGCTCCGGGTGGCACAGGTGGGCCTCCATCTCTCCAACATGGCCCAGTTACAAGGCGGTGCTCCCTGCCAAGTCAGGCCCCGCTCATCCGGGAACAGGGGAGCTGGAATGGGTTTGACCGTATTGTGCTGCACCTGCTTCGCCCTCGCACCAGATCCCCCTGCTTCGCCTGCCATTCTGCTGCCGCAGAGAGCACTTCTTCCCTCACCGACCCCCCCCCTGCGCCGTAAAACCCGTAAAATCCACTGAACTTAGCCGCTCTGATGGCTGCGGCCAAAACAGCATCTGATGTGCCTTATTTGTTGACTGTGTGAGATTAGTTGCAGAGGGTACACGTCGAGGGGCTTACCATGCAGAGATGGAGCGAAGCCCCCACCCCTCCACCAAACACCCACCATCCCTGCCAAATAATGAGAAATGGAAGATTCTCCAGCTTGTCTAAAGCCCTCGTCACAGTCGGTCCGTGCACACTTCTGCTCCCGAGCCAGACTGTAGTGCAGATACTGTAAGAGCTCCCACACCAGAGGAACTGGCTGCTGACTTCTGCATTCACCCTGCAGCTCAGGAGCCAATCTCTTGGTCCTTTCAGTCCATAATACCTCAGTGTGAAGCATCCACCTGGACTGTGTGAGGCCTATATGTGCAAGAATGTGCTTTTGTTTTCTCCAACATAAAAAGTGAGACGTGCAGCTCAAATATATGCAAGTTTTAATGCAGATTCAGCACATGAATCAGAATTAAATTCTATGCCAAGTTTCCAGTCACACATTTTCTGTTTCCCCTGAAATTTAAACCAAAATTGGAATCCAAACCTTTTCCCATCAACACTACTGCCACTTGAGCTGTGACTGATGAGCACAGTCCCCCTGCAGATGATAGAACGATCTTATAAAATCCACAATCTTACCACAGACCAAAGGTTGTAGTATTTGTGGATATTGTATTTGAAGAGTCATAATCAGTACACTTTTTGAAGTCACCTGTCAGGGGAAGAGAAGCAGAAAGCAGCAGTTTCTGGACACATTATTTTAGTTCTAAGAAACCAGCTTTCTGGGAGAAATCAGGTTCAGGAAATGAGAAAACATATTTCCATGTGCTGGATTTGCCTGTTTAGTCTTACTGTACATGTGGTTGGTCAGTAATCATGTTTCTCTCTCTTCCACTTACCGTTTTTTAATCAAGATTAGCATATTTCTAATCAAAGACCTCTTTTGTGAAATGACGCTGCAGCTTCATCTTTTATTTTTTGGACTGCTGACCAATTGACAGGACAGTCTGTGTAGTGTGAGGACAGAGTTTTTCTTATTTGATTTCATATGCTTTGAGCTGTGGAAACCATCTTATTCAGACTGATTTATTTCAGTATCAGTGGGACTTTGGATTGTTTTATTTTGGATACAAGGGTGCACCTCTTCAAGTGATGCTCTGTTCTATCAGAGACTTTCTCCGTCTTAAATCTTTGCCTGCGTAGCCAAAAAAAAAAAAAAAACAGTTTCTCCCGCAGAAACGTGGCTCTGTCAGTTTGGCGTCTGTAATCCTTTAACCTGCCCAGTATCTCAGAGGTTCACACTGTCAGTTCACAACTTTTTGTTTTGGAGGTTTTTGTGTGCTTTGACTCTCAAGGGACATACATGTTGCACAGTAAAGGGTTTCGAACCAAGAAACTGTCCTCAGTAAGAGAAGTTTACAGTGAGGTCTGTATATTATCCGACATAACAGAAGTATTGTTTGTGGGAAAACATGTTGCTTTTGAGTCATTTTTGAGTCTTTTTCACAACAAAGTCAAAGCACTACTCAATACATATTTATAATTAGTCAAAGGATGCAGAGATGCAGAGGACAAATCTCCCAATAAGGATTAATGATTAAAGTATAGCTAATTACCTTCACAATGTTGGAATCAGGTCACAGTAGGCACATGTAAACACACTGACAGAGCGAGGAGTTGTGTGTGTGTGTGTGTGTGTGTGTGTGTGTGTGTGTGTGTGTGTGTGTGTGTGTGTGTGTGTGTGTGTGTGTGTGTGTGTGTGTGTGTGTGTGTGTGTGTGTGTGTGTGTGTGTGTGAGAGAGAGGTTGGAGGCCTCCTGGCTGCTGGGGATTCGCTGTGCGAGAGCTCCCTCTTGGTGCCAGTCTGTCTACTGTTAGTGAACAGGCCACTGCTGCACTAGGAGGCTCAGACAGCTGCCTGGACACATGCCACACACACACACACACACACACACATACACATGTTGGGTGAGACCATGCACTGGGAGACGTCTTTTTGTTGGAAGAACAGGAATAGTTGCTGCTGGTTTACCATTTGATGCTTCAATTGAATTTAAATACATTTTCTCCTGATTGGAGTATTGTTTGACTTTATTTGTCCTGAAATAATACTGTCATGAAATTGTCTGTGGAAATCTGTGTTCTCTGTATGTTTTAAAAATGTAATTTTTGCATTAGCTCTTACTATTCTTATTATTTTTCTTACTCTTATTATTATTGTTATTATTGTTGTTTTAATTCTGTGTTTGTATGTATCAAAAGACATAATTAATACATATACGTAAATATTTTGGAATATTTTTACTTCTTTTTATATTATACCTACTATTATGGACACACTATTTTTTTTATTATTTTAATATGAATATCTGTTTTCCAAGTGTTAATTATCACATCAGGGAGCTGATTTTTTATTAGAGGGTATGATATGATATGAAAATAATGAATTAAGAAATAAATAGAAATATTAGCAAATCTCAAAAAAAGGTCTGAATTACTGTACCTGGAAAAACTGCAGTAAAGTATGAGGTGGTTCTGAATGATAAAAGTTGTAACACTCTTTCTTTCTCTCTGTCTGTGCTTTTCAGGGTCGGTGTATTAATTTTAACCGTGTGCAGCATTAGTAGAAGAGAGCGACGCCTGTGTGAAAACCAACATGTGCTGATCGCTGTGGACAAGAGAAGAATATCAGGTTTTTTTTTTTTTTGAAGATCTGTAATCTTGCAGCTAAAACCACTATCTGTTCACTCCACTTTACTTTGCGCACAGAGTTTCCCTTCTGGTTCTCCGCTCTTTGACCTCTGAAGCACAGAGTGAAATGTTTATATTAATTCTCATTCTTTAAGTTATTGACTGCATCTTTCCACCACCAAATATTTTTTTAATTAAGGAAAAAAAAAGTTAAGCAGAAGCACAGGACGCCCCAGAACTTAGCACTCAGAGTCGGTTATCTGTTCGTGCGCACCAAAGGCTTAACATATTCTGACCATATTGTGCCTTCTGTGGAAAACCTAATTTCATGGACACAGACGGAAGCTATCTAAAAAGAAAAAAAAAACATGGAGGAAGGGCCGTTTGCCTTTGGCGTAGAAGTCGGAATAATCCCAGTGGGCCTCACAAGTGCAGAAGTCCGTTGCCTTTTGGCAATGTCTCATCACAAACCCTCTCCAACTTCAGCAGTGCTGGATGCCTGGCGGCTGCCCTTTGACTGGCTTATCTTGTCATTTTAACACTGAGAAGTGCACACGCATGACAAATTGTAGACAGGATGCCCCAAGGTATTGGAAGGCACTAAGACTTTGCCTTTAGTTCTTTTTTTTTTTTTTGAAGACACCTTCATTTCATTATGCACTCGGGACACGAAAATTAATAGAGCGTTATTCGACCGCAGGACAGCCTCCTGACCAGGATGATCTCCAGCTAGGTTTGAGGGATTGATGCCTTTAAGACCTTGACATGGCGCTTGGTGTTTTTTGCCCCTGTTTTCAGCGCAGTCTGCTCTCTGCTCAGCAAGGCGTAGCACATCACAGCCCATAAACAGGCCTATCAGTTAAGACTTTTAAGATATAGATACAGCTGCCTCGACACTCCTCTGCCCACCGTCTCAATCCTCCGAGGGCTTCCTGGCTGCGTCACAACTCACTAGTTCTCTCAGCACCAGAATATCAAAGTTTAATTAAAATAATTAAAGGCAACAGCAAGCAGCAGCCTGTGAAGACTTGGCTGTCTCTTTTTTATGCCTTTTGACATTGAATGACCTATTACTGCGTTATTCACAGGAAAAAAAGAGGACACCGCGCCACGGTGACGGTGCACCACGTCCAAAACGCAAACCCAAAGGAACGGATGCGATGGACGGATAAGTATTGTTCATTTCCAGAAATTATGTCTCCCCCCCTCCTCCACCCCAACTCCCTTACCCCAAAAAGCAGGGGATATATATTTATATATATAGTGGAGTTCTCAAGCGCGCTGTCATGACGCCAATCCCAAATGATGTTAGTGTGAGCGGAAACACTGTGGGGGAGGAAAGGGGGCAGCAGCTGAAGAAAAAGGCTCGAATGATCCAGTCACTTCGGATACCGTACTTCAGATGCAAAATGGATATTCGAGTCGAAACCTGACAAAGCGCGCCAGCTTTGACGGGAAGCGGTATAGACAATGACCAGTGGCTGGGTCAGTGGGATGTCTCTGTGCAAGCAGGGAAGCTTATCAAATGACACTAAAAATAAGTTCAACAACCATCAAGTTTGAGGGGGAATGGGTGAGCGTCTCACATTCGGTGGGCACGAGAGCGCGCAACACGCCAGTCTAATTATTCCTTTGTTTCCTCCTTGTCTCCGATCGGAGGGACATAAATAATTCCAAATCAAATCCTCGGGGTGTGCTGGTATTTATGTCCGACTTAAACGCTTTTAGCCTCTTGCATAATTTTGCAGGCTGACATTTAATAGGCTCATCAGCCTCTTTCTGGACGGACGGCGGACGAGGAAATTTAAGCACTTAGATCCTGTCTTTTTTATGTTACAACCAAGAGCACAGGAATGTTATTAACCCGAACTAATGAGATATTTACATAGCAGTCACAACACGGGTCGCACTGCTAAAAACACGTCACATGTCCCCTCTGCGTCCTTTCCTCACATCATCACACACCATGGTATTCGGTTTGAACACCTATTGTTGTTGATAATTGTTGAATTTCTTTGTGCCTTCTAGTAAATCGATGCCTTTGATGGAAAAAGTATTTTTGTATTTCTGCACTTGTTAAATGAGGTTGTTTTAATGTCACACCAAAAGTAGAAGAATTATGTGTTTTTTTGAAAACATTTTTTCACTTCAGCCAAGTTTTTGTTAACTTCATCACTATAAAATACAACTGAAGCTTTAAAAAAGTAAATCACCACAATTCTTCATTTCATTTTGTGTCACCATTTCTTTCAGATTTTAGATGATTTGATTTGCATGGACGACTTTCTGCTTCGTACATTATTATCAGCTCATTTAAAGTGCAGTTATTGTAATTTATCATTTTATTATCTTTAAAATTGTACAGTTTTTGTCTTTCATGCTGCCTTTTTATATAAGCTTAGCACCTTTATGTCCAGGTTCAGGTCACACAAGCTGCACATATGTGTGTGAGTCGCAACCAAAATATCAATAACATCTTTTTTGCAAAGCTTTTTTATACGAGTTTTACACTGTTTTTATTTTACAGTCAAACAATTCCTGTTATTGTTTTACACTGCAGTCTGTTGTGTCAAATATACATTCAATGAAAAGCCAAGAGTGTTTTTGTTTTTTCTTTCCTTTTAACACGTGTGCGTGCTGGTAGGGGTGGACATGCTAAAGGCAATCTTTAATTGGGCCCTTGCAGATTTATAGGGCCCGACAGGGAACGTGATTATACAGAGTGTGTGTGGACAGAGGAGTGGACAGTGTGCAGCCTCTCCCCCTGTGAAGTCAGTCACCGGAGGCACACACACACACATACACACAAAATCCCTCCAAGGTCTCCAACGCCCCAAAAATGAGGTCTTGCATTTAGTAAAAATATGCGCTTATACACCTTCTGCTTTATCCACGTCTGCATGCTGTGACAAGATGCCAGCTGAGGTGTGTGTGTGTGTGTGTGTGTGTGTGTGTGTGTAACCCCTCCTCCATGTTAGAAGTGAGCGAGGGAAAGTGATGCGTCCTTGTTTGAGGTTTAGATGTCATACAGAAAAAATCCCTCTTATTCCTGGGCTAAACTCTCCTCCCATCAAGGTTGTTCAGCAAAAATCAGGTTCCAGCTCATCTTGTGTTGTCCAAACACACAGTTGTGTTTTAAAATATAGTCATGTAAAGCTGTTACAGTGAGGAATAAACTGTATGTATGAAGAGTATGGTCTAAACCTGCTCTATAAGAAAAGTGTCTCAGATAACTGTTAAGTTGGTGCTATATAAATAAATTACATTGAACTGAATTGTTAGACTCACATTGAAAGCATGACCTCTACTCAGACAATGATCAGACATGCCTGAGGTTTGTTAACAATATTATATGTTTTTCTACTAAAACCCCCCCTCACAGAAATAAAAAAGTAAAGTGCTCGCTCAGTTCAAATATGGTAAAAACTATATGACCTTAAAGTGCTAAAGAAACTGATCCCCGGAAATAAAAAGTTTCTCAGGTATGCAGAAGCAGAAGAGGTTTCTAATAAGCCACGATTTATTTTTTTATTATTATTTTTGGCTTTTATTGCCTTTATGTGATAGGACAGCTGAAGACAGACAGGAAAGGGAGGCAGAGAGAGAGAGGGGATGACACGCAGCAAAGGGCCGCAGGTCGGACCCGAACCCCAGGCCGCTGCAGCAAGGACCCAGCCCCGGCACATGGGTCGCCAGCTCCACCCACCGAGCCAACCGGGCGCCCAATAAGCAACGATTTAATCAGAAATGTTATTGTTACAAGTGGTTAAAACCAGCCAGTTTAACCCAAATGGTGATCAGGTTCAGTGACGGATGGAAGAAGTATTTAGATCAAGTATAGTAGCAGGACTACACTGTGAAAATACTTTAAAATTCCTGTTTCAAAAATATTGTATTATCATCAAAATGTGCTTAAAAATATACAGAGTAAAAGTCCTCATTATGCAGAATGGTCTTGCTATGTTGTAAGAATTATATTTTTGGTTCATTGTTGTTGATGCATTGAGATGTGAGTAGCATTTTAACATTGTAGCTGCTTTATAAGTTAGAGCTAATTTTCATCACTTTATAAGCTTTTGAAAGAAAATTGTAATCTGTAAAGTAATTAGGAACTGTAGATGTCAGACAAATGTAGTGGAGTAGAAACTGAATGTGGCCTGAAATGGAAATGTTTAAAGTGCAAAAACCTTTATGTGACTAACTGTATTTTGTTATTTTTCAGTGCAGGTTTTAATCCGAGTTAAAGACAACTATAGTTTCACATGCAGATCTATACAATACAAACCAGAATTAAACGTTATAACTTTATGCTAAATACAAATCAAATCATCCACATCATATGAGTATTCAAGTTGAGACAGTTTCTTATATATATACTCATTCAGACCAGATATACTAATACATCCAAATAAAAAAACAATAGTTCTCCACTCTAACAACTTTTCTCAAAAGTCACAACCTCTAATGGACTCTAATGTTCATCTGTTCACACATTTTCTCACTGATTAAAATAACTTCTCACATACATGAGTGTAAATGATCATCAAATTGTGATTTAGATGAACTGGTTTAAGTAACATATCAAATACAAATGCCAAACTTTCCTTGGTTTAAGCTTTCCAGTATGAGAGTTGGTATATTTTCTCTATCTCGTGTTATAAACTGAATTTTGTTGGGCTTTAAAGATAAGATAAACTTTATCGATCCGATGCAGGGAAACCTAAGAAAATGTAGTAGTTTCAGACAAAATCAGCAGTTCGAACCCAAAACCTCTGGAAACGTGCATTCATGTTCATCCTTATTATCTGACATTTTCAAGAATGAACAATCAATTAATCAAAAAATGTATATTAAAGGATAAAACATTAGTAGTTGCAGCCTTACCACAGAAACAACTGTACTGACTTTGTGTCAGCTCTACCGATGAAGAACTGGAGAAGTAACGACGAGTCATCAGCTCATTGTTTACTGTCTGTTAGTTTACTGCAGTCTTGATTATAAATATTTCACTCAAAAGCAGCTGCATGAAACAGAAAACCTTATAAAACCAGTGAATCACTGTGTATTCAAGGTTTCCTAAGCTTTAGCTACTAAATACATCCTCCATGTGTCATTCTGATCCACAGACAGTATGGCTCCACACTAACTGAATCATCACCATAAGCTGATTACTGCTCTCAGCTGACCAGTTCACACAGCTTTTAGAATGCCAAAACCAGCTATTGGAGACATTATGGACCAAGTGTTTAAATTCACAGAGTTTTATAAACTGCTTTATCAAAATATCTGCGTATTTGCTCTGTTTACCATTGTGCTTATGATTACCAGCAGCAGCTACAGGCTGCGTTGCTTTAAACACAGCCGGCTGCAGCAAACACGTGGTAATCTGAGTTTAGTATTCATCCTTGCTTCTTTTTTTTTTCTTCCTCCACAGTTGAGATGCTTAAGAAGTTCGCCTTCATAAAGTTGGCTCTAACACTCTTTCCTAAAAACTGAATACTTATTGGTCTATGTGTTATGTAAAAAATGAACTTTAATTAAATAAATGAATTCATAAAGAAATACATTGATTAATAAACACAGGATGAATTAAAAACAACAAAATGCTGAAGTAAATAATAACTAAATGCATAAATAAATCAAACAATAAATGTCTATTAATACTGTAATGTCTAAAACACTCCCTTCAGAGTTGCATGAGAACATCGTGTGTGAATTGTATTTTAATGCAGACAAATGCTTTTTTGTAGAGACAAATTATATATTTAAAAACAGGCTTTAAACCCACAACCTCACTGTTATAAAATCTGCTTCTGAGCCAGTGGAGCTATGAGAGCTTTCTGAGTTACAGCAGCTCTCACACAGAAATGAATAAGATCTGGAGTTTAAAGGAAACCATCACCTTATCAGGATGTCTACATTATTTACTTTAGATTTATCTGTTTTAGATTTGTTAATGTAATTATTAACAGAAAAAAAAACTCTTTCCATTTAGGTTTGATAAATAACATTCTCCTTCAGTCCGATCCTCTTTCTCTCTCTAGTTGTTTTGTCAGCACTAAATACCGGGCAAGAAGAGTAAAATGTGCCATCTAGTCCAAGAATAGACAAAGAGTAAGACACACAAGATGAATGCCTTCACACATGAGGCACAAACAAAACGTGACTTTAAAAAAAGCATAACGTGAGTGGACAGTCTGTCCAAGACGAAAACAACTAAAAGAAGGTAAAAGCTACCAACTTGACAGAAGGAAAGAACCCAGAGAAGGAGAAGAAAAACTCAGTCAACCTTTTTTTCAGTCTACAAACACTCTTTGTGACAAAGTTGTTCTTTAATGAATTCCATTATTTCACACTGGAGCTTGCTCATATACCATGCTGCCATTCAAGCTTATACATCATGTGATATGTAAACGCGCTCAGTGCATAGTAACACACTGCCATGCTTGATCAAACAAAATAGTTTGGAGATGAAAAGACATCTGAAAGGAGAATAAAGCAGCTGAATTACCCAAAAGATGTCATGTGTTTAAAGAAGCTTAGATGCTGCAAATATTCTTCATTTCAGCAGGATGGAAATTCACAAATATGATACAAAAGAGATACACGAAAACAAGAATTGAAATGAATTTCGAAGATGATTTTTGTGACTAAAGTTGATGAAATTCACATCCCGTCTCACATCGTTCATCGCTGCAGCAATTTGTGAGTGTAAACAGGAATTTTTCTGACTTTGAGAAAAATATAGTTCACGATTGTATTCAGTTGATCCCAAGTCTAACATACTGAGTGGAATAAAAGTGGCACATAGGGACAGCAGCATCCGAAGGTCTTTGCGTTCTTCTATTTTTATATTAGCGCTCACAGCCAAGAAAACACAGAGCAAACTCCTAAATCCATCCTGAGCTGTGCCACAAGGTTCTGTTTTCGCAATTTGATGGAGGGGGCTTAGCTGCCATAAAATTTCAACCTCCACTTCCCCTGATAAAGTTTCTCTGGCAGGCAGTGAACGGACTTAAGCAGCTGTTGCCCCCCGAAAGCCCGTCTGGCTTCCCAGGTTATCCCGATTTGCACAGTTGTCTCTGAAATTTGGGTAACTGTGGGATCAAATGCTGCAACTCAGCACGGACGCTAACCTTTCAAAGCCCGAGCCCAGACCCCTGTCGGATCCAGAGGGCGGCCCATCCACCCTAAGAACAGCTTGTTAGAGTTGACACTTGATTTTATGCATTGTATTTCTGAGAGCATTACAACTAAATCCCCTTCTCAGGCGATATGGAGGGCTGCTGTTCAGTGACGGCTGTGAAAAATGCAGGTGGGGGGATTAGGAGAGCTCGACGGTTCGGGATTTCAGAGCTTTATCTTGATGCTCTTTTCTGTGAGCTCCCTGTGAATTTTAAAGCCCAATATACTATATATGCTGATAAAGATTTAGGACTCCTGTAAGATGATTAGACTGTATGTCAGTGATGGTGTACAGTTATTTCAAGAGAGCAGCGGCGAGGAAGTGGAGACCCACATATGTATATGTAATATAAGTCCAATCATATTACACGCAAGATTTGGGCACTATAGTAAAACATAATCATAATGAAC